TGTTGTGGATTGGCTGTGATTTTAGGGCTGCATCTATGGCATATTTCACATACCATAGAATGCTAAATGAGCTGTGAGGTACCAATGCTGGCCAGAGTCTCTGGTATAGCTGCAGTTGTATTGACAAAGCTGTGCAGCCTCTACAGTCATTGTGGTGCTATAATCTGTACCAGTATGAAGAGCACTTTGTTTACCAATACAAACTTTGCATCTGTGGAGGTGAGAAGTACAATTAGTAGCTGCCATTACAGTTATACTCATCCAGCAGAGATAAATGATCCTTTCTGAAGCTCTTCCTCGGCAACCCAGCTCAGAGTAGCTGCGAAACTGTGTATTTTACCAGTCCTCAAAGAGGTTTCTATAGCATTTAGCACCTCAGATATTTCTTTCCCTGTGTGTTTTCATTGTCTGTCAGCCTTTGGTGGCAGTGTTAATCCAGTTGAAAATTAATAATTATGTTTTAGACTGGTGATTTACAAACCCACCTTATCTGCTTCAGGAATGGCAGAATCTCCCCATGTAAAGGAGATAACAGCTGCACCCCTTCCCAAGCAGTCTTTATTAAGGCTGATCTAATAGCCAGCTTACTGCTTAGGCTAAGCAAAGGTAATGGCTTGAGATTTATTGGCATCTCGAAAGCAGATACATCTAGTTGAGAGCAGAAGTGTCTCTATGGAATTAAAAAAGATAAAAAGCAAGAGTTCCTGCTGAGTTTTCCTACCTGCTTGTGCCAAAACTTTCTCTTCTCCAGCTTCAAAACATGTTTGTTCTTTCTTGAGTGCCAGAGAGAAGAAAGGTCTCACTGTGCCAAACAAGTAGTGTTCAGCACTCCCCTGCTTTTCATTGCTCTCCTTAGAGGTGGGAAGGGCTGGAGCACAGAGGTGGCTGTGCAGATGATGAGATGCCTCTGCTTCAGCCAGACACGGCGCCGCTTGGATCAGGAGAGTGGTGCAGCACCGTGGCCAGCTGGCAGCAGGAGCACAGACTTGGGGCAGCCTGCTGCTGCTTTGATGATTGACAGGATCCTGGCAGTTGTGCTGTCCAGCTTTTTAGTGTTGCCACATCCCAGAAATGAGGGGGGAAAGGTGGAATTTGAAGGGTGTTATTAAAAAGCAGCCGTTTCCCTAGTACAGAATGGGAGAGGAAGACAGAAGGACTAGCTGAATAATGAGGATGTAGCAGAGGCTTTTAGCAAGAAGTTTTCTTACTCCTCCAGGGCAGGTATAAATTAACTGTCTAGCTCTGTGCTTATGTATTGTGCCCTGGGTCTGTCAGCTTGACATTGAGGAAGAGATCTTTGAGAAAGATTCCTTGAGGCTGTTGATTGTCATGCAGCCTCTCCTGGCACTCTGCCATAAGTAAATACCTAAGTTCGTGGCTATGACAGATGTGACAGTACTGATGTGATAGCAGTGACAAGTTGGAGGGGAAGCAGCAGTAGTGGGCTTGAAGTGGCCTTTGCACTCCAAATGCAGCTTGTTTGTTGAATAATTTGAGGGCCTCTTTTTTTCCTTTTCTTCATGCCTTATATGCCTGCTCTCTTTGAGCCGTCTTCTCCTATGGCTATGAAGCAATGAAAGCAGCTTTAGAGTCCAGTGCATGATATACATACCCACTCCTGTTGAGTGAGGATGGAAAAGGCACACTAAAGAGATAAGTTGCTGCTTCTAGTACAGTTTTGGAAAAAGAAAAGCGCAGACAAAAATTGCTCAATCAAATCTTTCCCCACACTTTGTGATTACAGGGATGGAAAAAAACAGCTTGTTTCTTTAGTGAGTATTGCTTTCCCTTGGTACAAGTTGCCTTTTGTGTGGAAGTTTAGGTACCTTGACAGTTTGGGTTTTTCTAGAGGAAGACTGAAGACTTTTTACCTTCCTGACATCCCCTGAGTTCAAGGAGACATGGATTCTTTGAAATTACAGAAGACTGCTAGAATCCCTGCCAAAATGTGGGGAGATGTTTTTCTACAAACATAAGTGCAGGTCAAGCAACTGTTCTGTGTAATTCAGGTTGGATCATGGGCCTCTAAAGGGAGGGAGCAGGACTTGTCATGTGTATTGAAATTATATTTATGTCATTGTTGTTGCAAGAACAACAGTGCTTGCTATACTTGTGTTACCTGTTAGGGCTTAAGCTTCATAGGTATGTTCTGAATCTCACACTCCTCAGACTTCACAGTGTTTGTAATTAGAGAAACAAACCATTCAAAACTATTTCAGAAGAGCATCTGGACATAAAGGCAGCTGCCAACTTTGTAAAATGCTGAATTGCCACATCTAATGGTGTGGCTATGTATTATTGAAATGGTAGTATAGTGATGCTAAAAACAAGTTTGACATTGATTATGGTGAAGAGCATGGAAGCTTTGTGTGACTGCTGATGATGATTGTGGTGCAATATGGTATCTCCTAACCGAAAGTGCCACACTGTTAAAAATAAACTCTCTGGAAACTGATAGAGTATGGTGGACACCTTAAAGATCAATCATTGTATTTTTACAACAGTGTTTCTAAACTGATTCCTGAACCCTTGGCCATCAACAGGCTATTACACATGGCCTGCAATTAATCTGTGGACCAGCCCTAATGAAAAGAAACTGTTGAATTATCAACTTTACGTGTTTGTATTGTTAATTTTAAGCGTTTGAGGGTTGGCAGCAGTTGACCTAGAAGCTGGAGAGTTATGTTTATGTAGGATTCCTGTAGTAACCTGAGTATTTTTCCTAGAAGTTCAGAATTACAAAGCCTGAACAATCCACAACAAGGAGGTATGGTCAGTCTGTGGTATGTTTTCAGGCTGGCTACTTTGGTTGAAGTACCTCAGTAACTTTTTATAAGATTTAGCAATCGAAACAAGAAGACCAAAAAAAAATCCGAAAGGAATTAGCTGTGATCTATGGCAAATAATGCTTCCTGGCAGAGTTCTGACCTTCTTTGAAGAGAAGGACCTGCTGATGTTGAAGGAACTTGCATTTTTTTTTCCACTCTGTGTATAGAGTAGGGGGTCCTGCTAATGGATGCGATTTCAGCAGACAGTCTGTATGACTGCATCAGATTGATTAGCTGGGTCCTGGTTACTGCTGCGAGTGGTGATTATGCCAGTACAGCTGCTTTCTCTTTTTATGTACTAATTACCACACGCACGGATGTCATCACCCTTAACACTGCATGGAGTTGTCCCATTAGCGTGGGAGTGGGAAGCAGCAGGGGAGGGGAGCTCTTCAGCGTGACAAGCTGTTTAGAATTGAATGGAGTGGAATGATGAAGCAACTATTCTGAAGCAGAATTTTAAAGCTATCTTGTCTTTGAGATTCAGCCCTCAGCCAGCACTTGCAGGTTTTCAAAACCAGGCTCATGTCCTTGGAGGAGCATTTTCCATGGGGTGCTGTTTACTGTAAAGCAGTAAAAGCAGTGAAGCTCAGCTGTGGCCAGCAAGTCTCCCACCTTGGTGTGCCTGGTTATGGAGCATATGGGACAACAGCTGTGCAAGCTGACCTGCCAGTTGGGAGAGCTTGCTGCTAGCCCAGGAAGGTGGTGGCTTCCTGAGATGTGACAAAGCCATTCTCAGAAGAAAAACTGTTTGTTTCTGACTTTGCCAGAGAAGGATATGATGGAAGACTCTTGCAGTCTTGAGAGATTCAGAATGTTTATTTTATGAATTTATGCTCCTGGTTCTGGCAGACACCTCCCTTTCCCCTTCTTCCTTCTCCTCCAAATCCAATCTTCCCATCTGAGAGTGCACCCTAATCTCCATGGTAACAGGTGTTAACCATGGTACATCTTATTTCCCCCCCTCCTTCTGTTTCTCCCCTTGCTCTTCCCTCCCTGCTGCCCCAGCAAGCAAGGCAGGGCAAGGGAATGGGACCAACATGACAGAGATGGGTAAGACTTAGCTAAACCCCTGAAGACCTGTTCCTTCTGCCCAAATGCTGAGCTCCTCTGAATACACTAACTGCTGAGTGATAGCCAAGGCAAAGAGTGGCCAGCTTCTGCCATAGAGAGAAATCTCAGAGGAGGAGGTTACTGGTGATGGGAAAATTTGTTCCTGGTGATGGGAAATAATGTAGCTATATTGTTTTGCTCTGGCTTACTTTGTGTGCATATAGGATGGTCAGGGTGAAGGTTCTAGGTACTAGCTATTGGACAGCACATAGTTAAGTAATCCTGACTCATGCTTCTCAAGTTAAATTGTCAAACAGACAAGATATGCAGTGGGCATCAGAGCTATGGAGTAAAATGGCCCCATTTAGTTGATAAGTCCCATTCTAATGGTTTCTAATTATTTACTTCAAGTCACTTCAGCAGTGCAGTAGTGGTTGATGTGCATTCCCATCAACATTTATCCTGTTGTTCTATCATTCTCTTCTCTGCTTACTGCTTCACCACCATCCCCTTTTCTGTGGAGTCTGGAGGAAAGGTTATATGATGGTTGGCTGCTTGCCCACTAAAACATCTTTCATCTTGGATTTATCCCATTGAAAATCCAGATTCAAAGTCCATGTTAGTTGCAGTGATGACAGTTTACTAGCTAAATTTCTGCAGAAATTCTCTTAATGATTTGGTCTTGTAAATGCAGTCTTCAGTCCTACCCTTCCGAAATCCTGATGCTTTAATGGCCCAGTACACTAAAACGTCTTGTCCCTGTCTATTCTAGGTAGCCAAACTGACTCACTACTGCTTTTTCTATTTCCCATGCCTTTGTTTTTATGATTTCCATGTGTCATATTTCTGGGCTAAATGGATTGTTGTCGGTGTACCCAGTTCTGGTTGCTGGATGCTTCACAGCTGTGTGCCAGTCAGCCTATTAAAGATTTAAGGGCACATGTATGTCCATTTTGAGCAGCTGCTTACTCTCATTGCTGATTTAGTGATTTCTTACAACGTCCTGTAAAGTGACATGTCCCTATGACCATCTGTGCTGCTGCAGGGAAATTTATTTGAGCCTCCTTGGCTCTCCTGCCTTGTATTGTCCTGTCAAGTAATCTCCTGCTATTGTTCCAGAGAGTTTTCAACGTTCTGTACCCGATGCCTGCCGACCAGAGAAGACACGTCAGCATAAACTCAGCTCGCTGGCTGCCTGAGCCAGGCCTGGGATTGGCTTATGGCACCAACAAAGGGGACCTGGTGATTTGCCGACCAGAGTAAGTGCTTGCTTTACATGGAGACACTACATGGAGATATAAGTGCTTTAGCCATTCTGATCTCAGGGTGGTGGGGATAACATGGCTTTTCTTGTGCTTGAGGGATCCAAAAATCCCAATTCCTAATACTTCTTTTGGATTGCCACAGTGTTTACCAGAGTTTCTTACAATCAGTATTTATTTTGCTGATGGTAAGCTTCATAGAGTGTTTGAAGTGCATCTCATTAGCTCATGTTATTTCCCATGTCTTACTATAAGATTTCTGGATCCTTTATTTCTTATATGACTAGTGCAGTGTCTTTCAGCCTCTCTGGATTTATAGACTTCTGAAGGTTTACAATGACAGGAAATTTGAGTTAGTAATATACTTGCTTTCCTCAGCTTTCAAGGACCTCCTGAAGACCACCAACCAGACTGAAAGTTGCTAACCTAGAATTATCAAATGCTTTTTACAGTATTCAAGCAAGAGATTCTGTGAATTGCAAAGATTTTTGTCATGATTATGAGCAAGACAGTGAATTATCTTGGTGTCCTCACTTAAAGCCCAGTGGTGTGACATGTACATTTCAGTTCTCTTTAATTTATGTAGAGCTGTGAAGGGTGTAACTGCCCCTTTGTAAGCTTACAATTCAACACAAGCTGATTTAGTTGTGGTCTGACACCGATGATGACAGTGACACATATTGCTTTCACTGTTCTTGAGGAGTGTCTGCATCATATTTTATTGAAACCTTTCTCTCCATTGTGTTGTCCAAGTATTCTTTTGGAACCATGTTTGTTTTATGCTGCAGGGACACTTCAGGGGTTTCTCTGCTTCAGTTATTTCCTGGTACTAAAGTACTTTGGTGTTCTTTTGGGTTGTGCTTCACATGTTGAAGTTCCTTGGAACTGAAAAGCTGGCAGCTAGAAACTTACAGCACTGCTGGTGATCGTACCACATGCATGTGGACTCCATCTGTTGTGCCATGACATCAGGCATGTGCTGCTTGAGAAGAGTCATATTGTCAGTTTAGAACCACTAGTTTAAATCAGAATAAATATATACAGTTTTAACAGTGACTAATTCAGCACAGCCTTCTGGTGTAGTTTGTGGTTGGAATTCAGATTGGACCAGTTTTGGTGGTACAGAATGGCAGTGCTTTTCAAACAGCCCTCTTGTTCTCTTGAACAAAATCTTTCATCAAGGCCTTATTTATACATGAAGTTCTACAAGATACTGTTACAAATAAGCTATAGTCACTCTCAGGATAAGTGGCTTTCTTTAAGAACAGTTGCTGTATTTTCTAAGCAGAAGAATTATTTGAGAATAATGGCTCTTTTCTTGAACTGGAGAATATTGTAAGTTACTTGCAGTATAGAAAAATGGTTAAGATTTAGTCTACTGATTATGGTTCATGAGATGAACTTGGATGAGAACCCAGGGAAATGAAGTCTCCCTGAGGGAAGATTCTTTGGCTGAATGCTGCAGAGTCAAGCTTGATCTGGCTGTCCTGGCTTCACACACCCCACATTACATTTCCACTCCACATTTCCACATTCCAGTGCTTGCAGTACCTCAAAGCTGAGTGGCATATCTCTTCTTGGCACCTCACTAATTAAAGAGTTAATATGAACACTTTCCTGGTATATTATGGAAGCACAATCAGCCCTTCTGCAACATCCATGTAAAACCTTCTTAGCTCACTATGTTAATTATGCACATTTCCAACAAAAATAGGATGTTTTGTATGTGAACATGAAACAAGGCAACTGTATAAGTGGGAGATTTATTGGGGGAGTTGACAAAAATGCTTCAGCAAGTTTCCTGATGCTGGATTGGAGTCACTGATGCTTCTGGTGATAATTGTAAACATCACATGGACTGGTGGGTTCGTTCTGAGCAGGACACCTTTTGTGTTCTGTTCTCAACTGCACCATTTCATAGACCAGCAACAGTCAAGAGTGACTTGTAAATCTCACCATGGAAGTATAGATACTCACTGAGCTGTAAAATTTGCATTGAAGCACTAACATCAGAAAACAAAGGTGAGTGAGGCTCTATCAGAGTAGAAGTGGCTTACAACTGTGGTGTCTGTTCCAGATCTACTTGACAGATCCTTAAAGAAAGGAAAAATCCTGACATGTGGATGCCCTCTCAGTAGTTTTTGACTTAATAAACTTGGTTTGAGATTGGTATGTGTACTGACTTTAACTTGAGAAGTGAGGGAGAAAAATGAAAAATACTTACATGGTTACCATACACAGTAATACAAATACTAAATGCAGGATTCAGCAATTAATAGAGTACTACTATTTGGAGGATAGTCTAGCAAACAGCAGGAAAGTGCTGTACTGCTGAAATCCCCCCACTGTTCTCATTTGGCAAAGAAAACTGTGGTCAGTAGCAAACAACATAGATTGTTGTAATTCCCTGGGTCTTAATTCCCATATACAATGGAGGCATTTGAAAGCAAGTACTACAGGAATTATATCAAAAGATTGAAATATCAGCTGGTCCTCAAATAGAAGATTTAAATGAGTAGACTGGAAGTACAAGCTGACCAAAAAAAAAGAAGAAAAAAGGCATAACTTGAAGCTCCATAGACTCGTGATGGGATGCTGAGCAATTAGTCCTCCCAGTGTTCAAAAGAAACACTAGTTAAAAATGGAAATGGCAAGGTTGTATTATGTTGGCAGTCCATAATTGTAATCTCAGTACACAAATGTATAGGGTATATTTTTTGAAGGGAAGTAAAATAAAAACCATGGAAAGTGGGATCAAATGCACTGTGATTTGACTAAAGGGGAGTACAATAGGTTCTGTACTTGTCCTTGAGAATTTTATGTTTTTATTTCTAATTAAAGGGTCAACCAAGGATTTTTCTGTAAGTCTAACATATCTGTGGTTTAGTAAGGCAGTTCCTGTGTTGGAGCTACAATAAATCTTGTTAATTTCTAAAGAATTAGAACAAGGTCAGGTAAAGAGTGAGTGAAATCCTGGTTAAAGGAAAGAATACAACATTATTGACATCTGGACTCTGTCAAAAAATAGATCATTGGACTTCTTTAAAAAAACAGTTCTGGAACTGGTTGATTAATACTATTTACACTAATGGCTGGTAAGGATGCACTGAATAAATTTGCTGAGGATGTGACATTAGCTTCATCATTGCAGAGAAAAATTAAAGTATTGCAGAGGAATTGGATTGCTGTGAAAGTGACTGGAGCTATAGAAATGAGAACTTAACAGTACAAAGTGCACTTAGTGACTAATTACACTGAATTCAGTAGATAAAATGATGGAGGAGGAGAAAGACCTGAGGTTTTGGTTGATTGTAGGTGATTAAGCCATCAATACTTGAGGCTGTAAGAAAAACATTAGTTCTAGGATGAGATACAAGATGCTTAACAGCAGAGATGGCAAAATATTAATATGGGTGTAGAAGAAGCTAGATATATACGCTGGAATAGTTTAAATTTTGCCTTTTAACTGGCACAGTAGCTTAGAGTGCTTAATAGTGGGATCAGGGCAACATTTTAGCTAGTAAAATCTGCAGTGTGGGGTCTTTATCAGGGCTAGAAAGGAAGGATAAGGAGGGGGTTATATAGACTTCCATAAATATCCAAGAAGTGAGAACTATTTAAATGTGTATCACAGGATGGTCAAGGTTGAAAGGGACCATTGGAAGTCGTCAAGCTGCATCCCTTAGAGTAACTCAGGAGAGTGACCAGATGGCTTTTTAATATCTCCAGGGAAGGAGATGGTGAAATCTCACTGAGCAACCTGTTCCAGTGTTCAGTCACCTGCACAGTAAAGAGGTCCTTCCTCTTGTTTTGGTAGAACTTTGTGTTCTGGTTCTGCCCATTTGCTTCTTGGCCTGTTGGTCAGCACTGCCAAGAAGAGCCTGGCTCCATCCTCTTAACACCCTCTCTTCAGTCCCCTCATCATCAGTGTAGCCCTCCACTGGACCTGCTCCAGGAGCACCGTGTCTCTCTTGTCCTGAGAAGTCCTGAACTGGACACAGTGCTCCTGATTTGGCCTCACCAGGGCTGGGTAGAGGGGCAGGGTCACCTGCCTTGACCTGTCAGAGCTGTTAAAGCTCTTCCTAGTACGCCCCAGGATTCCATCCATTACTTCTTGGCCACAAAGGCATTGCTGACTCATGAACAGTTTGTGCACCAGGACCCCCATATGCTCCACAGAGCTACATTCCAGCAGATCAGCCTTCAGCCTGTGCTGGTGCAGGTTCCCAGGTTCAGGATCTGCACATTCCTTTTTTGAATTTCAGTCAGTTCTTCTCTGCCCATCTCTTGTTCCTGTCAAGGTCCATCTGAATGGCAGCACAGCACTCGGGGATATCAGCCATCCCAGCTTTGTGTCATCATTAAACTTGCCGAGGAGGCATCTGCCCCTTCAAGTAATTGGTGAATAAATCAAACAGTCCTGTGCCCAGTATTAACCCTTAGGGGATACCACTAGTTACAGGCTTCCAACTGGGCTCCATGCTACTGCTCATGAGCCTCTGAGACCTGTCATTCAGCTGCCTCAATCCACTACTCCATCCTCACATCCCTCCTGCAGCTCCCATCTGCCTATGAGGATATTATGGGAGTGTTACAATGCTTGCTGAAGTTAAGGTAGATAACATCCACTGCTCTTCCCTCATCTATCTAAGCACTATTCCCATTGTAGAAGGCAATCAGGTTGGCTAAGAATGATTTCCCTTTGGTGAATCCATGCCTGACTATTGCAACACCTATATAAATGAAAATATTTCAGCTGTCATCCAGGTGAGCGTATTGCCACCTGGCTGCTTCAATACTGGAATAATGGGGCTAGCAATTTGGAACTAGGTACATAAATATATATGCTTTTATTAGAGAGCAAAAAGGCACAAATTTACTATGACTAGGTTGTTACTGCAAATTAGAGGAAGGTGGCAACCAGATGATTTCTGCAATAGCCTGTACATTGATTGGGTGGATGCAAGAGACCCAGCTGTTTGGAAATGCAGCTCAGC